ACAAAATTTTCTCCAAGATTAAATTTTTGGAGAATCTGCAGCAGAAACGTTTGGTTTGGTTCTATAATTTTCCCCATTACAAGTCTTAGGGCCAGCGCTTTTGTGATTATTTTGTAATCAGCGCCGATTAAGGATATGGACCTCCAACTTTTACGTTCAGTAAGATCTCCTTGCTTGGGAATCAGTGAAATTATTGATTTTTTCATAGAGTGGCTGGTAATTTTTTCTACGAAAAGTATTTCGTATGCAAGCTCTTCAAAATCTTTTTCTAAAATGTGCCAAAAAGTTTTATAAAATTCAGCTGGAAGTCCATCATAGCCCGGAGATTTTCCGTTTTCAAATTTAAAAAGGGCTTCTTTTAACTCCCCGCCGGTTAGGCGGGTGTTTAAAAATTGATTTTCATCATCACTCAAATGTTTAGTGATGTGTGACACAACATAGTTTTGGCTGTCTTTGCATAAATTCGTTTTGGTGTAAATGATTTTGTAATATGAAACGAGGGAGTTTAATATCTCACCAGGTTCACTCGTCAATGTGCCGTCGTTCTTGCGAATTTCGGTAATTGACTTGTTCCGCTGTTGAACTTTTTCCAAGTTATACACAAATTTTGAAGGTTTTTCTCCTTCTTCAATTAGTTTTTGTTTCGTGCGAATAAACGCTCCTGGAAACTGGAGCAAGAAAAAAGCATCGCGTTTTTCTTTGATGCTATCTAAATTCGGGTTAGCGTTTTGTCGCTCCCGTTGGATTTCGTTTTCAATCCTTTTCATTTGTTTTTTGTTTTTCGCACTTTCCTGTATCGATATATGTTGTAATTCAACCCTAACAAAAAGTTTACAGTCGTCCCACCATTTTAAAAGTGAGTTGTAGGACCGTTTTTTAACTTGCCAATCTTTAATTAAGAGTTCAATTTTTTGCCTATGCACCTCTATTTCCAAAAGAGAACAATTTAATTTTCATAATCCTGGTCCTCTCCTTGTTTTACTAAAATTGACGGTTGTTGTCACGAACTCGTGGTCGGAAAAGGGGTTGGTGAGAATTTTTGTATATGTTGTTTTTTTGGCGACTTTATCGAGTCTACATTTTGCCTTCTGATTTCGCCATGTGAATTCTCTTTTGTTTGGGAACTTGAAACGAAAAACATCAACTAGGTTATACTTAACTTGGAATATCCCGAGTTCGTCAACGAACGTAGCGTTATTAGTACCTTTTGTGTTGAGAGGCAGGCTTTCGACCATGTTGAAGTCTCCGGTCAACAGGACGGGTAGTCCTGTTGGCCAGAGACTTCAAAATATTCAGCACCTGCATTTCGCGTACGTCTATTTTTATTCATGACATTTAATATCCTACCGTTATTATCCCTTTTTAGTTCATTTAAGGAAATGTTGTATAAAAGTATTAATCACCTAAAAAGAAGTTTGTTTAAACTTATATTATTTTTCACCTCATCTGCGGTTCTCTTTAAAACCTTTCATTTTATTAACATTTTTGCTTGTGGGTTTATAAAAACTCAAATTGCGTATACACTTTCAAAAACTTTTTTATACTTAAAAAAAAATTTTTCAATCTTTTAAAACTGACTTTACAACTTTTTTATTTAAGTTCTCTTTAATATTTAAAGAAATAATTTTCAAATACAACTTACAACTCTTTTACTACCACTAACACATGACATTGATAGCACTATTACGGAGTATTTAAAATGATTTGACTTTAAATAAAAAGAAGATTTTTCGAAAAAGAGTTAATTTGAATTTAGTTTAAAATTTGAGAAAAGCTTTGAGACGTTACTACATTTGAGAAAAGAAAAGGGGTTTTCATAAAGTGAGTTCGGTATTGTGATTTATACTCCTCTAGCTAATTGCCTAGCTGAATACCTCATACCATCGCGCGTACGATTGGATGGCATTTAAATTTAGAAAATAAGATGAAGTTTAACGCTTTTTTAACTTCATATATGGGCCCTAAATGGGCCTCATGTGGGCTAGCCCTTAAATCAAAATTTTAACTTTTTAGTATGCATAGCTGCATCCTAAAATCCTATGACATTGTGTAATTTAAAAAAAGTTTGATGATTTGTAGTGGTAGTGAAATACCTTGAGCGTTAAAATACATATAATTGCAGTACATATATTTTACAATATGCAGTACATATTATAATTGCAGTTAAATGTTAAAAAATGTCTTTCAGCAATTAATATTATCCCTAGTTAGCCAGATCAGCAAGATAGCATATTTTACCTTTGCCGAAGTTACTAAAATCTTAGCCACTTTGCCGAAATTACCGAATATCTTAGTTTCGGTTCATCGCTAATTATTATAGATTTTGGCCAGAAGAAATAAAGTCTTTATTTTTTCATCCTTAATAAAAAAAATTTTAAAAGGGATAAAAAAAGAGGCATATATCTTTAATGATAAACTACAACATTTCTTATCGCTTATTTTCTATATAATGCCTTTATAAGGTTACAATAACGTAAGTATAGTTTTAATTAAGATCTCCATCTCGGAGCACATTCTTACACCTTCCCCTTCTTCTGTAAATGAAATGTTTTACTGTTTGTGTTTTATAATGTTTTAATACTTCCTCCATAATTCTATAGGACGTTTTTCTCTGTTAGGATATGTCTTCAGAATCGGTTCTTGATGATAGCTTCTTAGTTGTGTCGGCATAGTAGCTGTTATTTCCTTTTCTGGCAAAATTGATTCGTTCTGGAGGTATTCTTCATCTTTCTCTTCTTTAATTGGTATCGGGTTAAATTGTATATCCGTTGGTACTTTCTTCATGTGTGAAGCATTTTGATTTTTTTGAGAATTATCAACGGGAGATTTTGCAACGATCATTGTACCATTCTTTGCAGTAATTGTGTAGGGTTTGAACTCGAATGGTGCCGTAATTTTGTTTTATTTTTTTTGTTTTATTAGTACTGTATCCCCGATATTTAAACTTGGATTTTTTGGGTGGTATTTTAAATCGTGATATTTTTTTCTGTATAACTTAGCATTTTTTTGTCGACCCTTGTTTGGAATGAAGGTATTGTAAAACCTGTAACGCAATTAAACATGAGTGTAGATGGTGGTATTCGGGTTGTGCAATGGGGTGTGGTACGGTAGGAAAACAGGAAGTTGTATAATTGCATTTTCCAGTCTTTCAGTTCAATATGTTCTGCTCGTATTGTTTTAATCAGTGGTTTCATAAAGGATTCAGCTTGTGAGTTTGCTTGCGGCCAAAGCGGGGTGATATATATTCTTCTACTTTAGTGTCTAGACCAGGAAAGTAAACTTTTTCTCTAAGTAATGATTTGGTTTTCTCAAGTCCCATGTGACTATTATGAGCAAGCTGTATAACCGTAATTTCCAGAGAATGTGAAAGTACAATTCGATTTGCTTTTAGAATAAGGTCTGAAGTCTGATTTACTGTAAGTTCTTGGCGTATAATACGGTAAGTAAAAAAGTCTTTTTGAAATTTTTTTAGTTCTGGCGGACAATTCGGATGTAATAGTTTATGCCAGGTATTAGTAGTAATTAACTCTGTAAGTATTTGTACAATAGGATCGGCTTTAGTTTCTCTTTGAATATGCAGTAGTGAAAGGGCTTAAGGACATGCGTATTCAGCTGTAAAATTGACATATTTTTCTAGCTCTTCGTCCTCACAAGGATCTACAGGGTGTCGACTAGAACAATCAGATATATTATTCTTTCCTTTTACGTAGTGTAGATCAAAAGAATATCCCTGTAATCGCAAAGTCATACGCTCAATGCAAAGTAGTACTGTAGCGTTTGGGTTGTTTAAAATCTTTACAGTAGCTTCATGGTCGCTGTACATTTTAAAAGGGTGTCCAAATAGGTATGTTTTGTTATGCTCGCAGGCGTATACTATAGCTAAACATTCTCTTTCGAGTGTAGAGTAGCGTTGTTCTACAGGCGATCCCTTACGGAAATATTCCATGGAAAACCCATGGAATTCCATGAGTAAACCATGGTTTTCCCATGAAAAACGGGAATTCCATGGAATTTCCATGGGTAAATTTCATGAAAATTGAAATCCTATGGAATTTCCATGGGTGAACCATGTTTTTTTTTCATAGCTTAAGCTGCGCCATGGTTGTTACAAATGCGCTTTTAAAGATGGCGTCATAGCTCGTAGAGTTATGATTATTTTTAAATTAGAAAACAATACTTACTGCATTCTTCTGTTTTTCTGTGTTTAATAAGGCTATGAATTATATGTTTTTTATAATGCAATACATTTATATGTTTTAACTAAACATACAGACATAAACAACTAGATATATTTATCATATTATAATGCATTATAAAAGGGATTATTTTTAATTATATTTTATTATATATCATTTATGCATATACTTATTTTAACTGTTTCCAGTAGCTTTGCTTACTTTGCATAACTTGCAATAGTATAGCAAGTATGTCAAGTAAACCAGTTTGAATTTTAATGCCTACTTGGCAAATTATTTGCCAAATAATTATTATTTGGTTTACAACAAATAAATGTTTAGTTTTAATCTACATTAAATAACTAGTGTATTAATGTACATAGTGTAATTTAATGTACATTCAAACTAGTATAATTATTATTATAAAATTTATCGAACGTATTAAAGAAACTTATTTAAAATATTAATATACAAGCAGTATATTAGATAAGATTAGATAACTAAGATAATAAGATTAGATAACTAATGTACAAAAGATAACTAGTATGATCTTTTTTATTTTTTTTTTATAATAGCCTTAGATTACATAAAAATGCTTGAAGTTTATTGTATCGTAAATGTTCATTAAGTATTAAAAAACATTTTTTTATGATAAATGTTCTATTCAATTTTAGTTCTGTTAAGTTGTTTTTGTCTTTTTGTTGTAGTTTTTTCTTTAGAATTATTAGAATATGTAAATAATGTAATATAAATAATGTTTATAAATTCTTTTATATTTACTTTATTATTTCATTTAAATTACTACATTATAAGCCAACAGGTTTGACTGGCAATATAAATAATGTTGTTCATCGTTTATATTGTTTATAACATCGTCAGTTTTTATATGCATTTAATATTTTTAAAAATAGTTCAAAAGCTGTCAAAATAAAATGGTGAATTGAGTTTAAACCAGAAAAGATATAAACGTAATCTTTGGGATTCAACTTGTAAGGATGTTCCAAGAACCACTTAGTTGGAGAAGGAAAACTGTGGTAATATTTTATAAGTATCAGTAAGGGAATTTACTTAATGCACAAGATTTTACTTCATAGTTAAATATAAGCATATAAAAGCAATGTTTATAAATAATACACTATTATTTATTATAATACAATTATTTTTATTTGTTTATATTTAACTGATGTAAAGTGCTCGTCTTTAGTTAAAATAAATTAATTTTTGCACACACTTTGATATTTACTATGCTTTTACATTACTATACTTTATAAATTACATATTTGTTATGTTTTAAATAGTGAAGTAAAAATATAATAAATTTTTGAATTTAATGGTATGTGCGTAAGTTCTTTTATTTTAACTTTATCATTTTATTTAAATTACTGCATTATAAGCAGGTAAGTTTGACTGACAATATAAATAATGTTGTACATCATGCAGACAGCTCAGACAAAGAAGTAAGTTTTTACTTAAAATTACAATTTATAAGTTATACTATATTTTTGCTGCCTTATTCTATATAAATGTTACTAACATGCAGGTAAAATTTATATATGTGTATAAATCTTTTCATTTTAACCTTATCATTTCATTTAAATATAAATTTTTAATTTATTTATTTAGCCGTTCATTAACAAGTCCTGTGCTTTATAATATATTAAAAAATGGAAGGACGTGAAGAAAACAGGTTTGTAAATGATGTTGTACATCATGCAGATAGCTCAGAAGAAGAAGTAAGTTTTTTTTTTAATTACAAAAGTAAATATATAATATAATATTTGTTGCTGCCTTGTTCTATATAAATGTTTCTAACATGCAGGTAACATTTATATATGTATTAGTTCGAATAAATCATTTTAATAAAGTTACATTATAGGCAGGAATGTTTGACTGGAAATATAAACGATGTTGTACATAATGCAGATAGCTTAGGCAAAAAAGAGGTAACAATCTAATAATTTGCATTTATAAATAATGATATATTCATTGCTACTTTTTTCTATATACCTAACATTTGGCAACATTCATAATTGTGTATAATGCCTAATTATAAAGTAAGTTATAATAGATAATAATTATAAGTAAAATGAATTAGTAAATAAAGAAAACTAGTTAGAATGTATATAATAGTTGTATGATGTATTGTCTAGATTGGTGAAATGGAGAATGAGACTAACTAGGGTGAAAAAAAATGAATATTAATATGTGAATGGTACTTTGTTTAACATCTACCTGTTTCTACAGATACAGTACAGACGCATTTATAAATGGGCTTGATGTTTTTTTGAATTAAATATGTTGTATTGATGGTTCTTTTTAACTTGTTAAAACTTGAAGTTATTATCAAATTTATATATACTATTTTTATCAAATAGTTAATATAAAATAATAAACATGTAAATTGTTTTATTTTTTGTAAAAATTGTTTTCTTGATAAATTTCAATTGTTTATCACTATGTATATCACTTATAGTATTATATTACTTGTAATTTTTTGTTTTATTTATTTTCAGTATGTTATACATATGCATGCATTAAATATTGTGTGGAAGTCAAGTTTTGATGTTTTAGGTGCATTATAGCTATTATTTTTCAAAGATTTGTAGGATTTAACAAGATTTAAATTTTATTTTGTTTATTGATTTTATTTGAAGAAAGCGATCTCATAGATTAAGAGAACTCAATAATAGTGGGATAAAATTTGCTTTTATGATTTAATATGACAATTCAAATAACATTAGATAAAAAACTTGAAAACAAATCATGCTTTTTTACCATGAAAAATCCATAAGTTTTCATTGGAAAGGTGTTCCTAATACCTATGGAAATTCCATGGTTTTTCCATGGATGGAAAATCATTGAATATCCATGGTATTTGGAACACTTTTCCATGAAAAACTTAAAGATTTTTCATGGGAAATTCATGTGTTTTCCATGGAAAACTCATGGTTTTTCCATGGAAAACTCATGGTTTTTCCATGGAAAACTCATGTTTTTTCCATGGAAAACTCATGTTTTTTCCATGGAAAACTCATGGTTTTTCCATGGAAAACTCATGGTTTTTCCATGGAAAACTCATGGTTTTTCCATGGAAAACTCATGGTTTTTCCATGGAAAACTCATGGTTTTTCCATGGAAAACTCATGGTTTTTCCATGGAAAACTCATGGTTTTTCCATGGAAAACTCATGGTTTTTTCATGGAAAACTCATGGTTTTTTCATGGGAACGTGTTCCAAATACCCATGGTTTTTCCATGGGTTTTTTTTCTAAAATTCCCATGGGAAATTTTCGTACGGGATAGCGCTTTCGAATTATGAGATATTAGTTTAAAATCTTGTTTATTTGTAGTGTTTTGAACAATGACTGCCGATATGCCTACAAGACTTGCATCGGTGAAGACAGCAGTCTCTTTGTTGGGATCGAAGCATCCGACACATGAGTCCAATGTCATAGCGTTTTTTAGTTTGTCAAATGCATGCTGACACTCAAGGTTCCAGTTCCATAAGGAATCTTTATGCAGAAGGTTTCTCAATGGATAAGTAATTGTACTGTAGTGTAGAATGAAACGTTTAAAATAGTTTATAAACCCGAGAAAACTTTGGAGAGTTTTAGTGTTTTCTGGTGTTGGCATGTTCTTGATATTATAAAGTTTTTCCGGATCTGGTTGCATTCCTTCTTTTGAAAATATAAATCCATAAAATTTGACTATTTCTTTTCCAAATAAGCATTTTTCAAAATTTAGAGTTTCTCTCTGTTTAAATCTTTCTAATACTTTATGTAATATTAAATCATGCTCTTTTGTATTCGAAGCGAAAATTAAAACATCGTCGGCAATATTCAAAGTACCTTCTATATCTTTTAAAACTTCTCGTAAAGCGTTTTGTAATTCCTCCTGCGCGGAGTTTACTCCAAAATTAAGTCTTTTAAAACGTTTGATTTGAGTTTCGGATTGAAAAGTAGTAATTGATCTGGATTCCGGTGCGAGTTCAAGCTGGTGAAATGCCTTCATTAAATCTAGGTTCGAGAAAACGGCGTAGTCTTTCAGTTTTATAAAAACATCGTCCAGGGTTGGAGTTGGAAAACGCGTTCTTCCGATAGCTTTGTTAGCTGCTCGCATGTCTACGCAAATTCTTAGGTTGCCGACATTTTTTGGCACAATTACCATTGGACTTATCCAGGGTGTCGCTTTGTCTGTTACCGTTTTAATTATTCCTTCTGCTTCAAGTTTTGCAAGTTCAACTTTAACCTTTTCTCTAAGTGCAAAAGGAATTCTTCTTTCTCTTTGTGCGACTGGTAGTATACTTTCATTAATTTTCAATTTTACTTGGTAGTTAAGGAGTTTTTCTATTTTACCGCTAAAAACATAATTTTTGCATGAGTTTATAAGTGGTTCTAATCGTTTTGGAGCGTTTAGAAGGAGAGTATTGTTTAATTTGCTTAAGTTCTGCAAAGAATGGCAAACTTGTTGTTTATTGTCGTCATGGTTATTTTGTTCTCTTTGGCCTTTGTTTAAAAGTTTCTTATTGACGTCAGTATTTAGTTGTATTAAACCGAGTAACTTAGCGTCATTTCCAGATAACAGATTTTTGTGGTGTGTTTTAACCACGTGAAATGTAGACTGACGAAATTTGGTTTGACTTTCTATCACGACATTGATCTGTCCTTCTATTTTGAGCTTTGGATTGTTATCCCCGTAAGTAATAATCTGTGTTTAGATTTTTGTAGTCGAAGTGGTCTTTTAAGGAAGTTGTCTATCTTTTCAAATGTTTTAAAGTTTAGAATGTTTATTGAAACTCCGGTGTCTATGTTAATCATTACCTCAAAGTTCTCAAGTCCGTCATTAGATATCTGTTTACCATTGACAGAGTACAATTCTCCTTCGTTTAACTTTGACTGAGGATTTTCGGATTCATTGATATCTCTGTAAATTGTATTTAATGGTTTCGTATAACCTTGTTCATTTCTTTTGTATTTCTCTTGATGTATTCTTGTATTCTGTTCGTTTTGTTTTCTAGTTTGTTAGGATTTCGGAAACTGTATTTTCGTAGTTTTGAAATATTTGCGCAAAGCTCAATTTGTTGTTTAATTTCTTTATCCTTATCAGCAAACTCGCATTTGATAGCTTGTTCGTTTAATTGAACGAAAAACTGCTGAGTGGTTTCGTCTAAACGTTGAGCCATCTTGCGAAAAATAAAGATTTCATAGGTCAGGTTTACTTGGGGCTTGAAATGTTCGTTAAAAGCTTCGATAGCTTGTTGGAATGTGATTAGCGTGTCTTGAAGTATAATGTTTTCATAAATTTCGTAGGTGTTACCTCCAATTAAAGTTAGAAGTAACAAAAGTTTTTGTTTATCGTCTGTATTTACAAGTGAATCGCAAAGTAGCTAAAATTGTTTAATGTATCGTTTCCAGCTTGCAAATAACTTACTTGCTTCTTCAGTACATGAAAACAGTGGAAAGTTTAGTAAATTAAGGTTTTTTATAGTCATGGATAAATACACTAAAATCTTCGTTAATTTTTTTTTTTTTTATATTATAAATTTCTTTTCTTTTATCTTCGTCGCCAATTTAATGATAAACTACAACATTTCTTATCGCTTATTTTCTATATAATGCCTTTATAAGGTTACAATAACGTAAATATAGTTATAATTAAGATCTCCATCTCGGAGCACATTCTTACAATACCTTTTTTTTCAAGAAAAATTTTTTATTTAAGAGACTGACTGCTTATTTTAAAAATCGTAGATACTTTTACTAATCAGGGAGCGTGCCTCTCACTTCAAAAACTGCGTTGTCGGCCCTACAATAGGCCCAAAATAGGCTGCGATAGGAAACCCTCACTTTTAGATCTATATATCTGCACAAGCGTGTATATAAAAAATAGTCTAGTAAATCAAAAGTCCATATTGTTATAGTCTTTATTTCTGTAAAAATTCAAGGGGTTTTCTAAGTGTACTTTGTTCAACAAAAATAGAAATTGCTATAATTTCTTGATTTATTAGTCAATTCTTTCCAATATTTGTAGCAACTTCCACCGTTGACTTTCAATATTTCTGTCAGCTTTTTTTTAAGCAATAAGAAGGAGTTTCAGTGTACCAACTTCTATTTCGTCAAACGTTTCTTTTACAAGGTAGATAATTTTGTCAACATTAGGGGGACTGTTACTAAAATATTTACTCTGAGTTGCTCTAAAAGATCCTAAGTCTAGAATATTCATATCTGGACAACTTTGGTGTTTGCTGATAAATTAGACGAATGCCAAACTCATCCAGAGAAGTGTTTACTAAAATTCTGAACCGTCAATGGCTCTATGCGGTTTTGCATTGTCCTCTTGTTTAAAAATAGTTTGAGTCTTTTCAATACAATTTCCTGACCATTTTGAGCGTATGGCTGGTAAAACGTTGTTTGAAAGCATATTGCGATACTCAAACTTATCTACAACAATTGGAGTTAAAACTAATGTTCTCTTACTTCTATTCTTACTGTTCCTCTTCGCAGAGTCTTATTTCACAAATGGCCAAGTTCACAAATGGCCAAAACCTTGCCATTCAAACATTCATTTGTATGCTCGTCAAAGTTTAATCTTGCAACTGCTACCAGGAACATAATTTTACTAATGAATCTCTTTGATTTTACCTGTTGATTGGGTTCTCGTTTATCAAGCTCTAAGTAGTACCGTCTTAATTCTTCTATCAAATAGAACCATTTTTCACCAGGGTGAATCGTCTTGAACATATTTACACACAGATTTGTACTATTTTCGAAGACATGATACTGAGAAAGAATGAATTGAATACGCTGTATTCTATTTTTATCTGTTAAAAAAGGCTTTATAGGTGATGTACACACTCCTAAATCACCATTCAACAATAAAAGGCAGTTTTTGGAATGTTTAAAGATCTATGCTAATACTCGAATGGTTTTCAGTTTGTTCAAAGGGATTTCAGGAATTCTTCCTTGCAATTGAAATTTTTCTTTTTTCGCCCGAACCCTTTTTTTAGAAAACATGTTTGATAGCAAATTTTCCACTCTTAGCAAAAATAGGAGATAACTGTCCAGTCTGCACACTAGAAAACTGCAACATTCCTGTGAAAGCTTATGACCATGGGATTCCAAAAATGTAAAAATTAAAATCATCTGCCTACGTCCGTGAAAGAAAATCAATTTTGAAATTTTCTTTTATTACACATATATGTAAAATGACAGCATTTCTATTTTTTGCATTTTTACAGCATTCTTTAAACAAAAATACATACAATAAATAAAAAAAAATTATTCTAAAGGGATAAAAAGGTACATTCTG